AAAGATTCTTTGAAAAAAAAGTCTATTCTATTATTATTATTATTATTACTGTTTTATTATTATTATAACTATAGCCCAGAATTCTAATTGTCAGAAGCTTCACAATTGGAGTAAGCCTTTGCAACTAGTCCCTTTGTTCCTGAGCGTGAATAACCCATCCAATTACTGCATCCAAATTTTGTAGTTGAACCTTGTAGAAAAATACGTAGTGTTGCATGAAAAATGTTCCCATAGCTTGTATTATGTAATGGATCTTAACTTTATATTTATTCTCATTTTTATTGTAATAATACCAAAAGAAATACTAAAACTTCCATCAAAGTCTGCCTGTTAATATGGCTCTTCACAATTTTTGTTTGTTACCCTGCGGAAAGTACATTTCTGTGCTGAAAAAGTAATGATATGGTCAGTGTTCTTATACAACTTTGTAGTCCTGTGATGTGGTTGTAATTCTTCCTCTGTCTCTACTATCCATAATGTTACAAAATAAGAATAACATGGGGGAGACCACCAGTGCCTTAAATGTTACAGAAATAATGGAGTTTTTACGGAAATTTTAATCAGCTTAGGGGGTGTCTTACAGAGTAGGAGAATTTTCAAGTAAATACAGCTCCTTCTTTGCAAATTCTAAATGTATCATTAAGAGAAGTGAAATAGATCCAAAACATATGGAAGCCAAGAGAGCACGACCTACGTTGGACAGTTAAGGGGACCGCGATCAGTTCCGAGTTTGTCTTGCTTTTACTTTAATGCATTGCTGCAGTAAATAGCGGTTTGCAGTTGCTTACAGGCGTGTTTGCACATGGAGGTTTTTTATTTTTTCAATAAATGCAGAATGATATAGATTCCCTTCAGAGGAAGGAAGCTCTGGAGCAATAAACTCTTAACTATTTGCTTATTGGCCAGATGCCTAAAAGCGCTTTCCTAAACTGTGTATCAGATTGCTTTAATTTTCTATGAGTTGCAAAAGAAGGGCAATATTTTCTTTCAATAACCTCCAATAATATATTTGTTATTTTATCTTTTATTGTACCATTCCATATCTTTATAAATGTCTGTAATTCTGGATTTTTCATGTGTTTTAATATTTTAAGGCCATATCCTGATTTAGCAATGCAGTGATTGTCAGTACTGAGTATTGAATCTCATTATTTGATTGCCTGTGTGGTAAGAGTAGAGTATACACGTAAGTACCTTACTAAATGGTAATCCATTGCTTAAAAAAAACTAAATCTTGAATAAAGTTTGCCACATTAGCATATGAGAATAGTATCATTTATGGAAATATTGGGAGTCTGTGCAACACCAGGGAATGCATTTGAAATACAGTCATGCTACATGTAGAAAATCTTTGTTTTTCACATCCCTTAAAAACAAGCTCGTACCTTCATTTTAAGAAGTGTTGCCTGTGTGAGATCTGCATTTGACTGATTGCCCCGAGTTTCAAGAGTACATTCTTAATGGTACCCGTGCTCCTAAGTGGTTTTGAAAAGTTTTCCTGAACAGGTATTAAGCAACACATGTAGAGATTAAAGAATTTGACCAATTAAAATGCCTTTATTGTATATAACAAAGTATTTCCTAGGAGGCTTTCAGGCAAGTGAAGGTAATTGGCGAAGGTCATGTTGAGTTAACTGGGGCCAGAATTTGACCCTTGCAGTCGGGCAGTGGGAAGAAAAATGCTTTGGTGTGTATTTTTCTTTTTTTAATAAAACGATTTTCATATATTTCATTCTTAACTATACATATCCCTTTCTGAGCATTTTTCACTAACAAAAAATAGTTTTTTGAAAATTCATAGACATTCTACTAAATAAGTATGACTCCTATCTACAGATTTTCACAAATTATTTAAAAAGATTTTATCTTTCATGAAACATTATTTACTTGAATTACCATACTTACTTGACTTAATATTTTAATGTTTTTTAAGTTCTTCTTTTTACATTTTTTTCCTAAGCTTTTACCTTGAAAGAAGTCATTTTATTAAAATATGTTTTCTCAGAATATTCAGGGATTTTCTAAAGGCTTTTATAGGACTTTGGGCCAATATCAGTATTTTGTGTTCCCAGGCAGTACAAAGTAAATGCACGTAATTTTAGATGTTGACCCTCTACCATCCCTCTAATACTGCAGCAGACTTGCTCTCAAAGGCTTGTGCAACGGACGGAATCTTTGAAAAAGAGTCAGACATTGGTTATTGAATGCTCTCAGTCCTGCTTCTCTCGAATGTGATTGCACAGGTGCAAAAAATCTGGCACAACAATATGTATTTATGACTAGGTGAACTGGTGCTTCTCATGCAATCTTACTTTTATAGCATACGGCAGCTGTGAACAAGAGTCTATGTGAGATACACTATTTGGTGGGCAATCACTTAAGCTGGGTGAACTTCAAGCTCAAGAGGGGAGACGAGTTTGAAAAATGTCCACAGAGTACATATATAAAAATATCTTCCACTGGCTCTCAGTGTTTGCTAACAGTACGATTTTTCTGTGCTGTAATTTCATGTAATTAAGAATATCACCTCATTCGCTCAGATTGCAGTTGTTAAGTTAATGCCATCAGGCAATCAGCTTCATATGCTGCACGTCTGTGGAAAAGTTTGGTTTGATTTGGATTTAAAGCACAGACCTGAATATATTCTTCCAGAAGCTTCAGAGGTGAAATTAAAAACTTCTGAATTGGTAAGCACTATTTGTTGTGTTACAGAATCGACTCCAAACCAAATTATAGGAAAAATTAAACAAAGGCTTCAATCCTACCAAAGATTTGCATGCATGCCTGCACTTATCCAAAGCACAGCTGGTAACCAAGTAGTATCTTTTTTCAAATATGTCAGCTGGTTTGATTAAAAAAAAAAAATGAAGGCACAAGTCTCTCCCTAAGGCATCTTAGGACAAGCTTGTTCTCATGTGCAAAATGTGTGGAAGTCTAAATGTTTAGGTGGCAGCTGCCCTTTGATGAAGTCGTAAGAATATTGTTGGAAAAAACAAACTAATGCAAAGTGAAATTCCATTTTTGGCACAATATTACAGTCAGAGCCATTTGTTTATGATGCTGTGTTGACTTCAGTCAGACAAAGTGTAAGTAGAGAGTTTCCCCCGTGGATTTCACTGTTCCATGGATTTGAGTAGTCCATCCGCCAGTGGCTAATGCTTCTGGGGCTGCCTGCCAGTTGGCCTCCTGGAGGGGCAGCGCTGCTTTCTGCACAGATGCCCAATGTATGGGCAGCATTGCAGGAATACATTCACTGGAAACGTAACAAATGTCCCTTGCAAACTTCGTTTGGATGGACTGTCCTCTCTGAGCCTGTTATGACTCAGAATGATCCTATGACGGTTGCTCCAAAAGAGCAGCGTAGAATTGGAGCAGTGTAGAATTGGTTCAGAGGCCAAAATCAGGTGGTCCCAAAGCACAATAGTCTTATTTGGCAGGCACAGCATGGAAAGTGAGGACTGGTTAGAAACCAAAATATTCTCCTTGCCAGCAGGTTGGGGTTCAACACCGTGACCTGGCTGAATAGAAAGCATATATATCTCATGGACAGTAGAGGATTTAATACACTCTCTGTCTCAGCAGTTTGTACTAATGTGAATCTCTCACCTTACAGGAAAAAGCAAATAGTGGGCTGGAAGAGGAATCTCAAAAATATCTGTTTGCATATATATCTACTTTTAGAGCTATTCTAAAATTCAGAGCTACTTAGGCTACGAAATTTCTAGATGGGTTATTTTGCTATTAAATGTAACAACACTGTATGCAACCAGAAAACTAACTGAATTTTTTACTTCCATTTCCCTTGAAGGAATATGCCGCTTAAAGCTGTACAGGAGAGGTAGCTGGGAAGAAAAGTTATGGTGACAGTGTGTTATGAGTACCTTCTATGCCATATGTCATGATGGATAGAAAATGAGAGCTTGGCTACTATGGACTGCAAGGCAACTAGCATTCAAAACAGTTCATTAGTCTGAGAAAATACTTAGCACTTTGCTTCAGAAAAACACAGCTGTCTGACTTTATGGTGGAAAAGGGCTGTGGCCGCTAATACTTTACCTTCCATTTTGCTGAGCCAAAGAGAGGGGAAGTTGGCCAGCATGTCTTAGTTGTTACAGTCCATGAAGGAGAGGCCAAGAGGAGAGACATAGTTTGTCCCTTCATTTGTCTGGTCTGGAAAGTGAATATATATGCCAAAGATATGGGAAAAAATGAGATGATATTGACATTGACAACATTTTGATCTGGCAAAGTTATTTCTTTGTCCATCTGTTGTTGTGCGTCAAGGTTTCTGCTCTCACTCTGCTGCTAGGGAGAGCAGGAGGATTGAAATCCCATTATTTGTTTGGTCATTAAAGCTAATAACACTTGATGCATGTTCACACAGGTCACTCTCAGGTTAGCGTGGTGTATTTATAATATTTTGTGCCCTGTTAGGTTGAGTAATGCAGCTCTCATGGGCATTGCCGAATATAAGGTCTCAACAGAACAAAGATTATGTTTATATTTGCAGAAAATGAATTTGACTCAAAAGTGTTGAAGGTTTGCAAATCCCTATGAGTTCAGGCTCACAACTTTCCACCCTAAAGGTTGAAATCTGTTTGAATATGATGATCATTTAAGCAACAAGTAATGCACACTTTTTAAGTTATGCAGTTTTCCTATTTGTTTAAAGGTGGCGCAGGAAAGAAACTCTTACTCTCTTCTTCCTAAAATATTTGTTTCTTGGCAGCGCTTGGGATGTATAGCAAATGTACTAAAAATACCCTGCATACAACTGAATGCAGCACATATGTCAGGAATCAAAATAACATTAATACAAGTTGTTCTTTTAATATGTACCTTTGAGCAAAAGGAAGCACTAGCCTGGACTACTTATGCTATTATATAAATAGAAAGTTTGAATTTCCAGGACCTTCAGGCAAAGTTCATTAGAACTCTGAGATGCAAGATTTCTGAAAATAATGGCCTTGCTAACATTTATCCTGTATTTCTGTTAATAGGAGGAGTGCTTTTTGAATTTAGAGGCTCCTATTTCAAGAGTGTGTGGCTACGACACTCCCTTCCCTCACATCTTTGAGCCTTTCTACATCCCAGACAAATGGAAATGCTATGATGCACTTCGAAAAATGATTAACTACTGAGAAGTAATACAGGTGAGATGTAATGTCTTATGCTGTGACTTTGCCTCTGAGCTTTCTGACAGAGTAATTGAAAGGTTTGCAGGTAATATTTCTCTCTCTCTCCCTCTTTTTCTTTTTTTTGTGTGTGTGTGTGTATATACGTGTAATTGCCCCTTATGGCTTCAGGCCTTCAGTCTTAAAGGTGCTGGACTGCTTTTAAACAATGCAATTGAAATCAATGTTTAAGCAAATTACTTTGCTTAATTGATCCGGTAACTGAACGCTTTGTATCCTGAGAAATGAGATCAGGTGAAAGAAATATTTAATTGACAAGATATATTTTCACCTACATTCAAAGACTTACAGTTATCTCAGGTAAAATATTTTGTTAAATTTTGGAATTTCTCATTCTTCATGGTGGCATGTAATACTGTAAGTCCCAACCTGTACTGACTTGCACTGCATTGCAGACATATATGGTATATTGAAAATGTGTGAACTATCTGTAAAGCCTTACAGTTCTGGTCAAATACAAATTTAAGACTTGTATTTAACACTATAAAAATCATGTTTCTGTATAACTTTCACACAATTTGGACACACTTGAAGATTTCTGTTTGCAGAACCATTCAAGCACCTGGAGTGTGAGGTAATATATATTTCTTGTAAATATTAATGACAGCCTGAAAGGCATCTTGTATTTGATTTTGTTGCAATATAATACTAATGGTCTTTCTGCACATACATAAGCACCATTAGAGTCTGTATTGGCCAACCACGATTTGAGAAAGATTGTGTGTTGTTGTTACAGAACTTCTTGTGTTTGCTGACCAAACTTTAATAGTTAGGCAATGTATGAATGCACTGTATGCTATAGTTTCTTTAACACGGTGAATTAAATAGTATAGTTTTTGAGATTGGGTCTTGATGAGTCTTGTACTTTGAAGCTAAACAGAAAACTGGCCCAATTCCCTTTGAATGAGGGGGAATCCTGTAACATGTAACCAGGCGGATCTTTGCTGTGCCCTATATTAGGGGCGCCCTCTTGTGTCAATTTTACCTGTGTGTTAAGCTATAAATTATGGTTTGGGCAAAAGGTAGGAGGGTTAGTCCTGTTTATATGCACATTTACTTTCAGGACCACCTTTTGCTGTTTATTTCTTCCGGTACCATAAAGTTGAGCTTCCCCATGTGAAGGGGGCCAAGATATCTAGAAAGTGGCATATTTCCACTTAACAGTATTTCTCCAAAATTACCCATTATTGATGTACCAAAATTGATGAATTTTGTAGCTGGTTTTATAGAATATGTGGTAGATGATGTCTTTCTCAGTCCTTACCTTTTATGTACATTGTACTAAATATCAAAGACTGATTTATTTTGAACCTGGTACCTCGGTCAGTTCAGCTGTCCCTAAGAGACATCAGAGAGAGCATTGGCCTCAATTGGCCTACTGAGATGAGTATTCTGCAGTCTGTTCCTTTCTTGGAGATTAAACATTATTTCCTGTGTTCAAATAGAGGAAGACAAACTGAGGAGATCTGGTGGTTCAGAGACTTAGTTTCACTCCCATTCCTAGATAGCAAGGGATGTATGAGGAGAAACAAGTATCATAGGAGGTTATGAACAGCTAAAAGTCTGTTCAGTGTACCCAGGGACTGGCTTACTGACTTACTGACTTTTTTTTTTTTAATTCGGCATAACATTAATTGATGAGGTTAGTGGGTAGTTCAGAATGCTAAGGTTAATTTATTTCAAAAACTGCCTTGTGTATAGGGAAATAAGGGGTATCTTTTCTCAGAAATGGTGTTTCAGTTTTGTGGATTTGAGCAGAACCAAAGTCTTGTGGATGTTAGGAAAGTGGGGCATTTTCTTGACCTACTGCTGGAGAAAAAAAAAGAATCAAGAAGGTCCCAGTGATGGAGAGGCATACAGAGTTCATGTCCAAGCTACAGAAACGTTCGGATTGCCTTAGTCATTGGTTTGCTTGAGTTTCAAGTCATTTCTCTTAGTCTACAACCACGTCGTGTGCCTGGCTATTTTCTTCTTTTCCTCTCTTACTCAGAATTTGTTACTAGAATTTGCTTCACCCATTACTTTCAAGCAGTTTATTTAAAAATATATCTATGCTATATATCAAAATATCCTTTTGAATATGACTTGAGATCTCTTTGAGACAGAAGCTATCTACGACTTCATTTCAAGAAGTCTTCAGTGATAGGATTCCCTTCACTCATTACCAGATAACCAAATTATATAATATTTCATGGTCTACAACTGTTTTTGAAAATTCTCTTTAGCCTTGCTATTATTTGGACCTGGAAAGAGGTTCTGAATAATGACATAAGGATGTTAACTCTGGAATTATTTTTTATATATTTGCTTTTAAGTTATTGGTGTGTCTGGAAAAGCATTTCTTAATTATCAAAGATTAATATTGTGTATTCCTCATAAGGAAATAAAAAAGGCTATCTATGTGAAATCTGTCTGTTTTGTGTACAAATGTGCCTCCTACTGAAAAAGGTCCTTCTCATTTACTTGAATTCACTTGCTGTACTGTGTCAGAGGCTAATGCGAGACTCAAGCTGGATGCTACAGGCAGTCATTCTTAAAAGCAGCCTTATTCTCTTACTATACATTTGGCTTTACTCAAGCCCATGCTAACAGTGTCTCACACATAAATAGTTGCTTACCTTGAGGCTGATGGTACAGATAGTTTTCCTGTTCAGAGATGAAGTTGAATAACGTGTGCTGCATACCTCATCAGTGAGTGAAGCAGGAGCAAAAGCTCTGTCTTTTAGTAGCTTCTTAGTGCTAAACATTTATAGCTATATTAAACAGCTTCCAGGTAGGCAGCTGTAATCCACATAATTCTTTGTAGTAGGAAAGAAAGATAATGAAAAAAGAAGCGACAAGATCATGATGATTAGACAGTACCTGGATAGCTGGTACGCTCAGTGAACATACAGCCACTGTCTGGCTGTTCACTAAAGAAAAGAAAGAAGATAAAAAAGAAGAAAGCCAATGCACTTCATAATATATATTCTAGTGATACAGAAATATATATTCCTGACTGGCACAGAAACAGCAAATGGCCAATTGGTTTTCTGTCACCTTATGCAGTTTTTCCTGCCAGGTTTGATATGCTGATTTCTTGTCAAATTCTGAATTTTAAAGCCGTCCCTACCAGATGACAGAGAGAGTATATGTGGGTATATGCATATACAGAGACCATTATGGTTGCAAATGTAGTCAATAATAATACTGAGTTATCGCACTGGGTAGCGTCATTAGGGAACACTTTCCACTTATAATTTTAGCTATCAAAATGGAAATGATTTAGTCTCAAGTTTTCTTTCTTTTTCTTGAGTTAATTTTATAAATTTATTGGAAAGTTTGAGCATACAGCATACTACAAGGTTAGGAATAGTTGGCATTTTAATTAATACTAGGGTATAGTAACTACCCATATATATATTTATATTTTTTTTCCCAAGCCTCTATTTGAAACATTTTTAACATCCAATATAGTTTGCACAAAATTAGTACTTCAGAGAGGCTTACAAATAAGAGGCATGCCTTTCCTTTTTCAAGCAATATGTTGTCTGGGAAAGAAGGAGAAACCCATTGGATACTTAGGTTAGTAACTGTTTTCTTTTGCCCTTGCTAGGCAGTGCCTCATAAATTTTAACTTCCTGAGAAACAGGACAAAATATAATTTCTCTGCCAATTTAATAAATAAAGTATGAGGGAGACCATGCAATATCTTTTCTTGTTAACCTGAGACTAACAACTAATTTTTTTTCAGCATATGGATCACAAATCTCTCAGGCTATGCTGACTGCTGCTCATAACCACTGTTATGGCTGTCTGTAACCACTAGAGTAAACAACTTCCAGAGGCTTGAACCGAATGCGAGATTTGGAGAGTTGGACAGAGAGGAACCTCATGAGGTTCACCAAGGACAAGTGCAGGGTCCTGCACCAGGGGAGGAATAACCGCAAGCACCAGGACAGATTAGGGGTTGACCTGCTGGAAAGCAGCTCCGCAGAGAGGGATTTGGGAGTCCTGGTTGACAACAAGTTAACCATGAGTCAGCAATGTGCCCTGGTGGCCCAGAAGGCCAATGGGATCCTGGCCTGCATCAGGAGGAGCGTTGCCAGCAGGTTGAGGGAGGGGATCCTGCCCCTCTGCTCAGCTCTGGTGAGGCTGCACCTGGAGTACTGGGTGCAGTTCTGGGCTCCCCAGTGCAGAAAGGACATTGAGCTTCTAGAGAATATGAGGAAGAACTTCTTTCCTGTGAGGGTGACAGAGCCCTGGAACAGGCTGCCCAGAGAGGTTGTGGAGTCTCCTTCTCTGGAGATCTTCCAAACCCGCCTGGATGCCACCCTGTGCCACGTGCTCTGGGTGTCCCTGCTGGAGCAGGGGGGTTGGACCAGATGATCTCTACAGGTCCCTTCCAACCTTAAGCATTCTGTGATTCCTGATTTTTGACTTCTTTTTTCCCCTTGCTGAATAGCAATAAATAAGCAAATAGGGCTCTTGAACTGTGTCTCATTCACAACCAGTGGGTAGTCCCTATATAACAGCCTACTACTGCTATGAGTTAGTCTGTTAGGATAAATGTCTATTTGTTGATCTTGGTCTTGCATCACAGCTTGCTGAGAATCTATAGAAGATCAGTAATAATGAAATTTATGATTATGATTATTGAAAAACATTTGGGATTGCAGTTGTTTGTTTTACAAGGTGTCTGTTCTCTACAGTGGTAGATAGTATATCTAGTAAACTTTTGAGAAAAAAAAAGAAAAAAGACACCCTTTGCTTAGGATGGATGACACTTCATCGTAAAGTTTCTGTGTAAATGGCCATAATTAGTGTTGTCTAGACACTGCAGCATTTCTAATTTCTAAGTGTCTGCCTTGGCAGCTTTAGCATTTGAATGTAGGGATTTTTTTGTACACAAGTAACTACATTGTTAAATTGTAATTTAGACATCTTTGAGGTTAAATGGGCATTGGTGGTGTTTATATCAAATCTGCATAAGTAGCCAAACTGGAGGAAAACATCAAGTCAGTTATGCCTGAGAACTAACCTTTCACCACTGATTAGAAATGAATTTAATCCAAATTTATACCTGGAAAAAAGGAAAATTTATCTTTCGTATTCTACAGATTACATTATAAATTTAAAAAATGAGATTGCCATTGCTGTTTAAATTGTGGATATTACTTTCAGCTTTAAAGTCTAATTTATGTTGTCATCTTCTTCTGCAGAGATGAGAAGAACAGGGAAATACAGAAGCCTTCTTCAAAATTCTTGGTTTATTCAGAGCTTTTGGTTTGGGAATTTGTAAAGCACTCAGAAGTTTTCACTGAAGTCAACTATCCTTAGTATTCATCCAGGCTATTCTTCAAAAAGTTGAAATCTCCACTAATTATGGAATCAATAATGGACCGGTGATTCCTTAAGTAATTTCAGATGTATTTTAAAATATTTCAGATTCAGTACGAGCCTTATACATTTTGCAATGTTCGTTATGTTACCTCTAAATTTCGCTGTGTAAATATTAGAAACAAAATTTTATTAAATAAAACAAATTATATGCATGTTGTGTCTTGTTTTTATTGTTGCTTCAGGAAAACCCAAAGAAGTCCTTTGAATGTGACTATGTTTTCAACAAAATAAAGCAAGGCCAGCTTGTGTGTCTGGCCAAATTTAGGTTTTGACTAAGATCTTTAACAAGTGTAATTAGTTGCCTGCCTTTATCTGTTGAGTGGTTTCATGTAAAATAGGCGCAAAATATTGATTTCACCCTCTCCAAGGAAAACGGAAACTCCTAAGCAGAGATTAAAAAGTGCTTAGATGATAGTTTCCATTGTTACATTTAGTGCAATATTATTGTTTAATTATTTTTCCTTTAGCTATGGGATATCTGCTGCTGAACAGTTAAATAAAATGTACGAAGGTGTCCAAAGAAAAGGTAGCAGTGCTCTCCATAATCATGCCAGTGGTGGGAGAAGAGATAGTACACATGCCATTTTCTGCTGGTGAGGACATAGTCTTTCTGGTAGCTTTGTATTTCTATAATAAAGTTAAATGTGAGTATTTATTTTTCCAGTGCTAACAGAAAGTACACTGACCATCCTGAAGTACATAAAGCATTTCAGTCTTTTAGGTGGAGAGCTTTAGAACTAAATAGAGATGTTTGTTTATTTTTTAATAATGTCCTCCTTTTCCATATGACAAATTAAGGACAGAGCAAGGATTCTTGCTGTGAAAATTGTCATACCTTGTCTCATATTCCAGGACTGCTCAAAGGCCTGGATCTTCTTCCAGCACAGACAGTGTCTTTGGTTCCAATTCTGCCCATTTGTCCAACATCTAAATGAAATGCGAATTCAGCAGTTTCTAGTTTCTGTCCTTGCCTTTCTCTCTGTACAAATGACATGCTGTCATTCTGTACATGCTAAAAATCTGTTCCTTAAAAATCTGTTACTCCTTCTTATACGCAGGAAAAATATGCCCATAGCCAGATAACTACATTTCCACTTTTATTCAGGGGAAACTCCTTTCTCAGCAGACCTGTTCAGGGCACTTCCTGAGATGTGGCTGAAGCAGCCAGGGAGAAGCTCAGGAGGAGAACTTCCTTCTGAGGGTCAGTGGATATTGCCCTCTGTGCCCCTCCATCATCCATCCTGATGGATGGATGATTTAGGGAGTTCTCAATGGGCTCTTCCACTGAAATCCCAAGGAATTCTGGCATTTGGGACAACATTTAAGATTTTGGATGCTATGCACCCACACCCCCATATCTCACAGCCCTGAGCTCGCAGGGCTCCCGGGCCGCTCTCCTCTTGCTCTACCAACTCTGGAGCAGTCCTGGCCTCTAGTTTGGTGCTTGTAGAATGGGATGGTGCTTGGCATCCAGAACTGAATTCAAAAAGCGACGTTCAAGGGGCACGGACGAATGGAAGCGCTAAATTACAATCTTTTCAGGTTCTGTTACCATTTTGTGTAGCTTTCTGCATTCATATTTCATACCTTTCCTGCAGAATCCCACATTAACCTGCTGGAATGAAAGGAGAAGGAAGAAATTTTGTGCTGATACAACTGAAAACGAAGTCATTTTATGTGTTTCTAATTAAAATGACTTCGTCAAATCTCTTTTGTCTGTAAGTCTCCTGTAAATGCTATTTATAGAATTTATTGTTTTCATTAGTCTATATATATTACCTATTTTATATTTTTGTAATCGATGAAAGCTAATTTTTCTATGAAGAAAGACATTTTAAAAATATTTCTGTCTTTGTAGAAAATCAATAGATATTTTATTAAATTTATTGTAAAATGTACTGGCATTATATTTCAAAGCATATGAAGTAAACAGAATTACAGTGGTGCCAATGTAAAACTTGCTTTGTTAATTAGCCTCAGCTATTACTGTGGAGGTTACATTCAAGTCACATATATGGAAATACTGAAATAACATATGTTTCAGTAAACCCATTTAGAAAATATTTGCTCTTAATGATGACTGCTACAATCTGGTGGGGAAGTAGGATTTATACTTGCAGTGAGTGGGAATGTGTGATTTTTTAATAGCCTAAAAAATGTTCCTCTTTGCTCCGTATGGATACCAGAAATATTTCTCTCTGGTGAAGATGGTTCATTTTAAGATAAATGCTGCTCACAACAACCTGCCTAGATGGCAGTGTGCGTTCACGTAACCTGTGCTCAAGGGTGGTAGCTGCTGAAAGAATGTGCTGTGGAAAAATGATATATAGTTCTACACTGAAAAGGAAGGAATACATGCAAATAAGTGTGTCTCGTAAAGTTTCCCAATAATAAAATTCAAAGACAACTAATATTTCTGTTTTTAAGCATATAGGTTTCTTAGATCAATTAGATATGCAAAAAGTGTAAAGAGAAATAAGCAGTGATCCTTTTACTCTAAGTAATGGTTTTCTAAAGCAAAACTTATGTCAGTACTTCTTCTGTTAGTCCAGTAAGACCAGTGGCTTGTATGGTTATGCTTATTTAATACTAATTGCTGAAAATAATTACTGTACATAGTTTAATGGTATGTTTTGTAAATATTTCGCTGACATTGTTAGTATTAGGTTGGTTTTTTATTTTTAAATTATCTACATGTTCACGTTACCCAAAAGGCAGCTGGATTATATGCTAACAACTTTTTGTGTAAACTACCTCATTCCGAATCCTCAGGCAGGGGACTGGAATTGAAGAAGGACCCTCAGAGCCTTCCCAGGATAAATCCGCAGATTTATTAGCTGCAGATGAAAGACTTGTACACTTGTGTCTTGTTATCTAACCCAGCTAAGGCTGCAGTGCCATAACAACTTCATAAACAATGTACCAATTAATAAAAACTAATTTAAACCAATTGAAATGTTTCCCCGTGTGGAATGGCAGATGTTTATAAGAGGATTACACAGTAGTATAGTCTCAGTGTAGTGCAGTAGCCAAGAGTCTTGACACAATGACCTTCCTCTCCTATGGTCTGGTAATCAATTCTGAGCTCATGACTTTCCAGACAGCTATCTGGCTTCTGTAGCTGAAAAATGGTGCTCACGGTGTGCTGCTGTATTGTGGAAACGTTGCTGTAGCCACATAACTTCAGAGGCAGGGGCTGAAAGGAACCCATTCAGCGAGTTGGCAGCGATTATTATCACAGCAACTCATGGGGTTCAGTGAGCATTATATGTTCATAACAAATAAGCTGACACAGGCTGTAAGCTCTGCCAGCTTTCAGTAGACCTGAAATAAGGATGCCTTTTTTTTTTTTTTAGCTGTTTTTCTGCTTAGCAGCTCTGCAGGATGGGTGTTTGTTAGATATGGGAGACGTACAACCGACTTAAGTATAAACAAGATTTTCAGAGCTTAATTTGGTTGCTTATGCTTTGGCATCAAGTAGCATCTGAGATCCCCCTAGGGTATCCTGCGTGGTCTCCAGTCTCTAGCTGCTGCTTCCATAAGTCCTATGTGATACCTGCCAGCCCCATGTGTATCTTGGGTGCCTTAGGGCATCTCAGATGGCGCTAGATGTCTTTGCTCAGGCATCTAAATGGAGCCCTTTGTTTTCTGGGGCTCAGATGGCTGATGCCTGACTATTTTTCTGTTAGCTTGTATAAAATGCAAGCACTGAGGTTGGTGCATGCCTCAGTTTTCAAAATAAATTGCTCAAATTCCCAGCAAGTACATAAGGAGGGACACATGACATGTTGTGTGTGTGTGAAAGAAAGGATTGTCTTCTGAGCGATGGGCTGATGCTGGCCTGGGCAGTTAGTTCCTATAGGAGAATCATTTAGAGCAAAAATGCAGCCTTATAAACATCCTCTGGCTGGAGTCAGTTGCTGCAGCTCTTTAAGTTTCTGCTGAATATCTGAAAATAGCATGTGGGCAGGACCTGGTTCAAGTCCAGCAAAGGCATAAGCAGTGGTGTTGAGTTAACGGGAGGCAAGGGACTGCAGTCCCATTGCTTCCTGCAGAAGCTGTGTGTGGGATTCAGCTCAAGATTGAACTACCTAAATATAGATGTCAAGCTATAGGTGTGTAGGGCTGAGCAGAGCCGTTTAACCAACCCGTATATATTTTTAGAGTAATCTGACTCATTCCGTAGGCTCAACCGCTTGTATTGACTGCCTTAGTTAAGCTGCTGTGCAATGTTCTTTAGTGCAAAGTGAGCTGCCATAAGGCTCCTGCCTGGGCGTAAGCTGCTACTCTAGAAGGGCTGAAGTCTCCTCGAAGTTCTCAGACATGCCGTCCAGGTGTGCCTTGCAGGCCTCAAGTCATCTCAGGCATTGTTGCCGGATACTTGTGTGGGGAACGTCATCTATTTCTCCACTGACTGTACTGGGATTGCAGGCAGCTCCCATGGCACACTAAGGTTTCGCTGCTGTGTCTCAGATGAGAGAGACCAGGGAAGCAGCATATGAAATGTGCTAGGTAGATGCTAGGGCCATATGCTAGCTGGGGCAAAAGGCTGGGAGATGATCTGTCTCTGGGTCTACTGCTGCTCACAGTGATGGCCGAGTCCACAGGTAACATTGTCTTAGTTGTCCTGGCTCTTCTAACAAAGTAAATTCATATTGATGAATTTGATCATTAGTTTATTTTCATGTTACCCTGAATCAGCTCCAGCTTTGCATTTGTTTTGTGCTTTCAGATGGTTTTATGCCCTTTGGTTGCTTTTCTTAGCCTTAGGTTTGTTTGTCCTTGAATGGGGAGAAGTAAGCCCAAATAATTGCACTAAATTATGGGTAGGCACTACCCCAAGCAGATGTTTTTGCTCATGTAGGTCACTGGATCTGTATTCTAAAACTTGGTAATGCACCACCAGTGTTTGAGGAGAACTCCCTGTTGA